TATCACGAAAATGTGCCGACTTGTCATTATAAAACGATACATCCGTATCGTCTGTTATTCCTAACAAGATATGAATGAAAGTTGGCAGATAACGAGGAGTTGTCCAACAGTGTCAAGGTCACCGCGTGTTGGACCGCGGTGCCAACTAAAACTAATACACACAAAACACGCTGCGTCCACGCATTCGTGATTTACAAGAGCAAATAACTTTTGTTTTAGTTTAAAAATTCAACAAATATTCAACATTCTTCGAGTAGCGAGCGTGGTTTTAGTCGTATTAAAGTAAATAATGAAGCTGCGGTCTATTACAACAATCTAAGATGAATTAGCGGATAGTTGTTTAGTAATAACAAATTTAAACGAGTACAGACGTAATAAACATATTTTTTTGCAGATTCGTGTAAATGGCATACATCGGAAAGCAGCGGACTTGGTGATAATAATTTTATCAATTTCATAAGCGTGTAAGTTTTCCAACCAGTGAACTATGCTAGTAAAGGTAGAGTGGCATCAGTGCGTGCTTGTCCACACAGCGTATCAATCGGTTATCGCTCAATCAACATCAACACACAATGTTATCAAGTAAAGATCGCCACGACACCGCACAGCGGCCCGTCCTATTCAACCGCAGACGATTTACACCCAATTTAGGACCCGTTGTCAACTCAGTTATTTAACTAACACATTGGCAACACATAAGCGTCATTATTATGATTTGTTCAAACAACCCCGCTAATAGCTAATGTCAACATAAATTCTCTTTCATGACAGCGACTATTAAGTTTCCACGCGAATAGTATTGCAGGCAGAGAAAGTGTTACGAGTGGACTTACATCTGACCAATGACACAAAAAGCCTACCTCACTGGACATAGGGGTCAACTGTAAGCTTTAATATTTCGCAATAAGAGCTAAATTAAAATGACCAAAATATGTCTAGGGTCTTAATCCAAAGCCCCGGGGTGTATTAGTGACGAGTGGCCTCCCCCATTTGAATACACAGCTCACGACAGTTTAAACATTTAAATCTCTTAATCCAATGAGACGGGTCTACTGTCCATCGAAGTGGAAAACTGAAAGGACACGAAAGGATTTGAAATTCGATTACAAGCGTATAAATCATTCGGTACAAACCAACGAACTAAAATTAGCAAGGAATGAGATCATAGATTTCTGTTCTTGAAAGTTAATGACGGCGAGGTTTGATTGTATGTAGCTGCCTAGTAGCCTACCACTATATTATCGTCAACCATTATTTCCTGTTCTATTTTATGTTATCTTATAATTGTAAAGCAATAGAAAACTCCTATATTAACATACGGTTAGAAAAGTAATGATTAGAAAGGCTTCGTATCGGTGTCGGGGGAAGGCGGCGGCGGCGCGGCCGGCAGGGCTGCAACCAGGGGGCAAAACAAAGTATCCAATTTCTCTACTTCCCCACTTCCGACGCAATTACGACACAGTATTGTGGGGCTGTGGCGGCGCGGTCTGACCACAGCCCGACTGAAATCTAGGCACCGCAGCAATCTCGTTACGGAACATAAAATACACTCTTATTGTTCGACCGGTTTTTTCGCAAGACCTATTCAAACAAAGACTTGAGCACGTACCAAGTACTGCCGTGACCTGTACAGATGTTCGCTTTACGTTTCAATACACTTCAACAACAATTATGGCTCACAATCATCTTCAATCGTCACAATTGGGCAACTGCTTAAAATGAAAAGTTAACACAAAGGATTGTTTGAAAGCGCCGAGAAAATTAACGTGACATTTCTACAGAACTTTCTCATGTCTCATATTTTAAAAGAGAAAAGAACGATTACTTTAGCAAATTAATAATGTCTGTGTAAGTTATCTTTTACAATCTTTTAAACACAACAGTGGATAAATTAGTAGGTTTAATGGTTCAGGACGATGCGCATAGAAACCTGACAGTTGGTGGACTCGAGGGGACCCTCCATTATGAAATGCGATGATAATACCTTTAATGCGCAGGTTGATCGGATTGTGGGAATAGGAATACCCACTATATTATTACACCCTTTTTACACATCGTTGGATATGTTATGATAATTACAATGTGGATATTTATTCGAAAATAAACCATATAACTCTTTCCATTCAAAACAGCCTGATAGGTTTACTATTTGTCTTCCAGTGAGGCACATCGAGAATTCTAAAGCAGCTAAGAATTTACACAGATAATTTCAGCTGAAAACACATCTTTTCCACTCACAGCACTTACTTACAGAAAAATCCCACAAACATAATCCGCAAGAGACGCAATATAAACTTTCATATTTACAAACAAAAGAAAATTCTTTTTAAATAACGAGAAAGCTCTTGTCTCGGTAAGTGTCGCATTAAAGATACTTCACAGAGATTTGAGGGCGACAAAGTTATTGTTCTAACCATAATACTTAGACCCTCCCCGAGCCGAGCCCAGACTGCTTCATCGTGCGGGAGAAACACGGGGGGAATATGTGTCAAAGATCTCCACTGAATGTTCCGACGAGGGCACTCGGTTCACGAGCGTACGCGTCATAATCATGTGACCCTTTGTGACAACATAATCACACTTGATCCGTGCCAATCGATGCCGGCGGCCAAATCGCTTTGTTACCTGATCTGTTGTCATTACGAGACAAAAATTGTACATCAATACAACACATTAGGCGTTTTCCAACAATCGAACGTTATGCTAATATAGCAATTCCGTGAACAGCTGAAACGAATCGACTCTGCAAACATTCATAATGTGAACACTTGAAACCTTGCAGGTTGCTTGTTTTGACGGCTAATTGTCATTTTATCCTGTCTAGTGAGACGCCGTGACTCACGGTATTGTGTAAGAACTGGGCTCAAGGTCGGCGGCGCGATTGATATGTTACTGTAAAAGCTCGAACTGCAGTAAATCCTAAGATATTCCAGTAAAACCTAAGATCTACCAATTCCAAAAGGTAAATGTCCAAAAAAAATTACGATTCGAACTTTTACCACCATTCCGTTGGTAAATCTTAGGATTTGCATCAATGGCACGGTAAATGTTGAAAAACAAAACATGTCATAATGTGCTCAGCGCATCGACTTGTAGCTTGCCGCCCCCGCTACCCGCGCACCGTCTCCGCCACTCCGCTCGCCTCAATCGCTCGTTTGACACGTTTGAACTCGCACGATAAACTGATTTATAATTATATTTTTGGTGTTTAAAAGTTATTTATGAATAAAAATGAGTATGAAGCAAAGATTTTATCCCTTAAAAAAAATAATAATAAAAATAAATCATAAGACATCAAAGAAAACATTTTCCTCATCGCTACCGTGAGGTAGGATGCCCAAAAGACTGGCAGCATTGCCACGTTGAATGGCAATGCTTAACCTTTGCCCAAGGTAGTAGCCAGCCCTTCGATCACCTGAAGTGTCAACCATCCTCCTTACAATATCTTTGTAAAGAAGATGTGCACTTGGGCCCCACGGCCCTAAAGTTTCAACCCCAAACGGTTCGAAAGCATAATTGCCAATCAGGCTATTATACTTTCGCCGTTTGAGGTTCTCGGCAGCAGCAGCGGCAGCACCGGCTCGACACGCTGAGCTTGGAAGATGGGATGGCGCCAGAGTATCAACGCAAGTGGCGTCCCATACTAAAGCCCTACCCATCTTCCAAGGGAATAATGACATACCGTCGGGTCTCTTGCCATCGTCGCGTACCAAGCCATTAGGTTCTAAAGTAGCTGGCACGCCAACGGAGGCAAGAGCTCGACGAATTATGTCATTAATACTTGCGTGTCGAGCAAAACGGCCCGCACTACGGCTACATGACAAGCCGTGGTGTCCAAGGCTGTTGACATCTTCACCACAACGACAACGATGAGGTGAACAAAATGAAGCTCCAAGCCTTAAACAAATTTTATTAAATAATGGACGAGCTTGTGGCAAACAAAAAGATATTAACAAATACGCTAAGTGTTTAAAGGAAGTAAAAACTGCAAAGAACATTTAAAGAAGGAACATTAAAGAAAATGTTTTTTTAGGAACCTTACCTATTAATCAATTACATTTGATTATCTTTATTTACTTCTAAACCAAATAATAAGAAAAATAATAATTAAGTTAGACTAGCTTTTATAAGCATTATGTTTGTATTTCGTTGATAAATTCCAAATAGAGAAGTACTGATTCAGTTAGATAGATATGGCAGAGATTAAGATATTCAGATACGTGTTTTTTCAAAATAATTTTAATAAGTTGATATTAGTTTGTACTTGTTACTATCATTATGATATCTTTATAAGACTATTGTCGGAATACTGAAACGCTACTCAATTTTAAGTCGCGCTTAAGAATAGTTCTGTCACCACTAATTCTTTGTAAAATGACAGAGATGGCACGATATTTGAGCACGACTTAAAATTGAGTAACTTTTCAGTATTCCGGCATATGTACCGGTTTTGTCTAATAGTTCAAAGTAAATAATTAAAATTACTCATTGTTTTATTCCTAAAACCAACATTTACCAGCTGACAGTGGTAAAACCTAGCATATACTGAGTTCGAATGGTAAAAGCTAGAAAAAATCGTCGTATCTTCAGAAATACTTACATTTACCAACTCATGTCGGTAAATCCTAAGACTTACACTTAAATCTTAAGATTTACCGTAGTTCGAGCTTTTACAGTAACAGATACACAACAAGTCAAGCACTGCATGAACGTAAACAGGCCTGTTTCACCCGTTAATAATATTGCACACGTAAATGCACAACGCTTGCCAAATAGTACTTACCCGGTGTTAGCAAATGTTAAATTAGGGTAAAGATAAAATCAGTGCAGTCATGTATATAAACGGCGTCGTTAGAGGTTTGCGTAAGTTAAGCCATTACTCTTATGTTTATGGTTGTCGGAGAGGATAATTAACATTGACTGTTTGACTGACAAAAACAAAATGATCTACTGATCATTTACACATAACCTCCGCAATATTACTAGGTTGTTCCACTTACCGGGATCAGCCGCCAGCTGTCTGTACACTGCAAGGGCTACGTCATCTTCACTGACGAAGTCCCACAGACCATCACAGGCCACCACCACAAAGTCTTCGTCTCCATCTAGTTCCACCGTCGCGATCTCCGGCCGCGCCGTCACGTAGGGCTTGTATTGTGCGTCACCTGGACAATAAGAAATTAATGTGATGAAATTGGTGCTCCAAAGAAATCTTTGCTTTAGAATGAAACCACTAGCGACTTAGCTAGTCAATGCTAGTGCTAATGAAGCCACTAGAACTAGCACTTTGTTTCAGACTCTGCAATAAAATATAACATATTATGTGACTAAAACTGTAATTAACTGTTGGTAATGTAACTTACACTCAGTACATAATAAAGGTTAAGAAATATATCAATCGATTTAGTAGCTACATGAGACCTAGGCTAGCTGAATGTATAAAAAACAACATGTTACACCGGACTTATTAGCTTATCGCCTCGCGCGCCACAGTAATGGTTTCTAACAACTTAAATGTGTAGTAATAGTAAACCACGTATTACGTAACTACAGGCAATCGTAAAATGTTCTTTAATGTAACACTACAATAGAAAGAATGCTAAAATGGACAACAAAAACATTAAACCAAAAAATAACTGAGATGTCAAATAACGATTAAATGGAAAGGGGACTTGCCCTAGTTACTCAAACAAAAAGGGCCGAAGCTTGTACGCAATCGAGTAATTATGGCGATGGAGTAACAAATTCGTAACTACAATAGCAAGTACATAATAGTGTGCCCACTAAATAAAAGTTACAGATAGATAGGATCCTCCTTGTGGCCGCAATATGGACATCCGAACATGCCGACACAAGTCAATCGGCATCAGATTAATCTTGCATGAAAATCTGTCGACAGCTTTGATGATGTCGGTGCGTAAGGGGATATAGTAAACGTTTCGCAGCCTAATCTCCCATGGAACGCGAAATCGATGAGTTTATCCCGATACGTGGGGCTCTCGGGCGGAGCTGTGAAGAAAATGTCAACATTATTATGTTACTATGCCGTTGTCGCCCTTTCGTGTCCTTGCTAGGGATGTGAATATCGATACTACTCGATTAATGAAGTCCATGTGAAAAAGGTGGGTTAAAACAACTAAGCTTCTAATAAAATAATGGAACGAAAATAACAGTTAAAATAACGAATAGTGATGACAGTGGAGTAAGCTTTAAAGTAATTGGTATTGAAACCGATTACCACAATAAAAATTTAACTAAATTTCAATTCACTAGTAATGAAAAAAGGTCATTAATTTCATCCAGTAAATAAAACGTATGAATAATAATAAAAGAAAGTTCACATGATTTAATTCCAAGCATTTTTTTAATTATTATCGACATGAACAATGCAGTTTCTTGCAGTTGAGTGCATCCCTATGTGGGTGCGTGTCCAAGGTGATCGATACAGTGTGCAGCCCCAGTGCCGGGGTTGTCGGGAAGGGAGTGCCACGCGAGGGGATACCGGCCGCCCGCGACACCGCGGCGCCACCGCTCTCACACATTCATACCACTTACTTTTACAAAGAAAACCCGAGGTAAAAAACGAAGGGGAAAAGAATGAAAGAATTTCTCTATTGACCCAAAAGTTGAACTTAGAAGTGATATTAAGTCAATGAGACAGTCGATTTCTATCCTACATTCATTTAAAAGTGTAAACTGTGGTATAAGTTTGAAGGTATGTTTGTAAATCAATAAGGCAAAAACTGCTGAAGGAATTTGGATGGAATTTCGCAGTTATTATAGACCCTAACTTTTTAGTGAGTGCGAATGGAGACTTATTTAGTGAGCATTTACTAAATAGGACCTATATGTATAGTTATCAAATTGTCGGATATTTCGTTTTTTTTTTTCAAATTATTTTCAACATCACGTTCAATGAACAATTATTCTCAACGCATAAATCATAAAGGTACCTTTAAGGACAATTATATTCAAATAAGACATGCGTGACATTGATATCATTTTGACTTTGATGAATCATAATTTATGAAGTATTGTTCCTTCCAATACTTATTTAGATGTTATATTATTGTTCCTATTATACTCCATGCAATCACGGTCAGCACTCGAGGCCACACTTTCGATAACTTACAATGAAGTAGTTTTATTCTTCTCTTATTACATGCTACTTGACATTATCATAATTAATTGTTTGGAGTTAGACAAAGAGATTGATCTAGAATCTAGATTAATAGCAGTATCAATGCCAATGTCAATCAAAAGTCTAGATATTTTGTAAAGCTGCTGATTATTGTCCAGTTTTAGGAACATA